CAGCAGTCGAAATGTCTGTCGAGCTTTTCCGCGTTTTCGTGGCGAGTGAAAAGTATTCCTGTGTCCTCTTCGCTTTGATCAGAGACCTCGCCGAGCTCGAGCTCGATAATAGCCGTTTCTTTCCAGGTCGCCTTTGACTTCTCTCTGACTGCGCTACTTGGCGTTTCTAACGAAAAATCGATTACTCGTGATACGAGAAAACAGATGACAGGAAGATAATTAAATTCAGAGCTGCGCACTAAAGTTTGATAGAATATTTTCTCATTTCGCTAAAGTTTGCCCCATCATCGAAATACTCTCTCTGTCTTTACTTCAATTACTTACTCTGTACATGCAATACAAATTAATAATTTCCATAAAATTATTCATAACTTTCCTTCATTAATAAAATAAATTTTACTAATATATAAAAGATATATCCATTCATACATGTAATATATTATATTATGGATTAATTTGGTCCAGACAAAATTATGACTTTAATTTCCTGATCTTATTTTCCTTTTTAAGCATATGATAGAAATCTATATATTAAAATCTCGAAAATATTTTATGATAAAAATAGTTCAAAAGTTGGAGAAATTTCAAGAAGATGAACACTTTAAACAGTTCTAAAAAAAAGTGAAAGAATGAGATAATGTTAAACCATGTATGATTGTCTCTCTTCCTCTCTTTTAGGGAGGATCTAAAGAATAAACAATTCTGTATCGGAAAACGTGCGTTTCTATAGAATCAGATCGGCTGTATCGTGCATTACTGATAAACATCGGCACATATATGTATGTATGAGGCACAGATTCGCCCATTGCGAATTTACGATATCCGCTTACGGCGCGTATCAGGGTGCTGATAAAAGTAGACGCGAGATCTCTACTCTTGCTTCCTCCCCTGCGAATTATCGCCGACGAATTTACGGCGTTATCCCGTTATCTCCATTGGCGTTGGCCGAAACGTTTGTATATGTCACCCAGGAAATGGCTACAGATGGACGTTGACGACTAACGTATATTCAGCTCTTCCGTACGACGGTAACGAGTTCGGGACGAGACGATATTTCGGAATGGAGGGTTTATAGCATCTGGATCGCCGGGTACAGTCATTCTCGTTTTGCAGAAAACGACAGACGATTTTATGATTTATCCGTATATTAGGAGAGAGTTACATTACGAGAGAAGGTCGTTTCAATTGTGACAAGGAACTATAGCCAGTCGAATTATTGGCCAGGCGAGATAATGGCGTGATCGAACGTTTGGTTCTGAATAACGACACGTTAAACAGTATAGAACGAATTTTATTAAGGGAAAGACTATAATAATATTTTATAGTAATTTTGGAATTAAACGATATGGAAATATTGTGCAAGAATAAATTTAGGGATGAAAAATTGGCGATGTTGAAAGTATTTTTGCGCGCGCGCGCGTGTGTATGTATCATTCCTTCTTATCATAAAAAATAAATGTAGAAAGTGATTTATCCATAAATAAATAATTTGTTTATTACTTTTAATTTAATTGAATTCCGATTTAATTCTAATTCATTATTTAAAATTGATATATAATTTTAACAATTGTGTAAATAACGATAAAATATAATTTACCGTTACTTTATTGATAAGAAAAAGAGATAAAAGCTATAATGTAGTTCAATCATCCAAATACGAGAAAAATGAATTGGTCTTTTTAATTCTTCAACTATCATCTCGCGTTTAAAAAAAACCTGAAATGATGTTTCTCCTATGGTTGACATACAAATCGGAGTAAAATTCATCCACTTCCGTTTGGCTACCCGCAAAGATCAGAGTTACGATGGTACTGGGCGAAAGGAGGGCATTCGGTGGGAACAACGCGGTATGAAGTTTCTTCTTGCGGCGGAGTTTTTACGGTGTTCGTTTTCCGCACGCGGTGCCGTATGGTTTAAGCTTTGATGCTGGGCGGAGGAAAGTAAATGCGATCTCCTCTCTTTGCGCGAAAGGAGAGGCTATAAAAGGGCTTGGCGGGACTCGCTGCGCCGAAACGAATTTCCTTCGTTCCGTCGTTCTTTCCGCGCGACTTTCCGCTGAAGTTTCTTGCCGCGTTACCGTCGTGCCGTTAACGTTTCTGGTCTTGCGGAAAAACGTAGCGCGATCGCTTTCGCGGCTGCATTATTATCCGCGATAACGTATTACAACTTACTGCACCGAGTGCTTTCAGTCGCGCATTGTTGAATATCGAACGTAATTTTTTTATTCTTGAAACGATGCAAATGTATGTGGGAATTGTAACGCAAAATTGACGTAGATATTCTATAAAAAGGATCTTCCATTATTTAATTAAAAAATATAAAATAGGCTTGAAATTTTCGGCGTGGAATTTGCTCCTAATACTTTTGCGCATTCTAAGACACTATGTATAGTTATAAATTTATGAAAGTAATGGTCATTTTCCGATGATTTTTATCAGTTTTCCAATTTTTCATTATTAATAGTATTATTAAAATTATTTTTTACATATATATAAAGTTAGTTGCATTAAGAAATTGCGGATTTTATTATTTGAAAGAAGAATATTGAAATATATTGTTAATTAAAAAAGAAACATCTTTAAGTAGTAATATTCTCTAATCGATTATGTTTACAAAGATATGCCTCCATATTCTATAAAAATCATGCCACTCCGAAAACTACCATAATAATGATAAAACCACCATATGGATGACCGTATTGCGGTCCAGCATTAATCATTTATTTCCAAACTCTACAGAAATTTTAGGAAAATCTCATTCGAAGAAAAGGATAGAATATAGAACCTCGGGTAATGCCGTGTTTATTCTTCGATGCTCGATCGAGGGGAACTTTCGGTCCAAGGCGCCACATCGATCTTTTCTTTTATTCTAGTCGTGGCTCTCTCTTTTACCCCACATGCAACACCTTTAGTTCCCCCATCGAATCGCTGCCGATTGCCCGCTTTTATATCGCCGCAACGCTTCCATTCTTATATACATCGGGATGCTTATTTATTTCCTGCCTCCGGACGCCAGTCGGACTCATATATAGTTTCGTATTCGTCCGTTTCCGCAAGAACGGATGGAAAAACAGCGCAATGGAAACGGATGATTTGGAGTGGCGGAGAAAGGTCAACTTTGATTAAAGTCGCTTCCGTTCTCTTTTTCTTTCTCTCTTTCTCTGTTTCACTCGTGGACGGATTTTGGCAATATTTCCGGAGAAAAACGCCAACCGCACATATCTGTCTCTTTTGGATTCTCCTCCGGAACATTTGCGGTCGTGGAGTAATATGAAAGTTATATGATTTTGTAATACCTTTACTTCTCTCGTGAACGAAGAAATAGATTGAATCGAAAATAATTTGCTTTTACAAGAGAGACAGAGGTTCTCTGATCTCATATATTTTATATGAATAGATATTAAATTTTATCGGACTGTGGGAGAAAGGACTTGAAAACTAAACTTCATCCAAGTTTATTTTCTAATATTCTCAAATTAGTATCCAATTGAAAAAATGGGAAAAAAAATAGAAATAGAATGGCCGGATCAAAACAGGTTGCTTTGATTAATGGCTACAAAATTTATTTGATTAGAAAATAAAAATGTACATTTCTGATTTACGAAATATAAAACCTTTCTAGTATGAACTATGCTAAAACCAATCAAACTAAAATCAGTATTTGCAAATTTAAAAACACATTGAAATCTTTTTAAACACTTTATCAATAATCACATATCATAATCACATATATCATAATCACATATTTCTAATATCTGTTATCACTTCGACATAAAAATTGTTTTCTAAAAAATTGTCTTTTAAAAAACAAACAAACAAACGACTTAATACTAATAATTAAAACATTATCGTTCTTATACGACCGGGTTTTATTTAAATGAGCGAACTCTTGCACCAATAACGCATAGTAAAATGAATGAAAGTTGTCCGATAGAGAATGATAATTCTCTTTAATGAAATTGAAATTCGGGGGATCGTCTCCTTTTACGTCGCAGCTGTCGCCGCTCGTCACCAGTTATATCAGTTTCTAGATTTAATATACATGAGAGGATCGAAGAGCACAAATAAAATGTCAGCGACGACTGCTGACGACTCGTTCCCGCGTCATTCACGGTTTTACCTTGTTCGTGAGGGAAGTAAGACACACAATCAGCCGAATGTAATTTCTCCACAGAGTCGCCGGCAGACTCTGCTGACATGCGCCATTTCCCTTGTCGCGTGACACGGCGATTTAGTAGTTCTCGTATCCTAATTAAGAACTCCATTTCGCGATTCTTATTCCCGATAGAGTCCAACGAGATCGACGTTCTCAATAGCAGTTACTCGCAATTGGAAACTAGGTGATTGATACGTAACTATTGAACATAAGGTGAAGAGCATTAATTTAAAGATAAATGATCGAGAAAAATAGTAATTTTTACGTGAAACTTTACGCATTAAAATTACATAGATCATTTTTTCGAGAAAAACTTTTAGAAATTCCTTTTTAATTAAAATTTGAAAGTTTTGTATGTTCTTGAAGTTAATATAAAAAAAAGTTTGCCACTTTTCTGTTATATTAAAGTTGAAATAGCCGCGACTTGTTACTTTCTCTTTACACGATCTTCAAAATAATTAGAAATCATGCGATTTTTTATATATCCTCATGTCTCATAGCACGGATAGATACCCATATCATTCGAAACTAGTATCGTTTACGTTCTTATGTGCACGGATATACAATGGAAATATATGATTCAAGTTAATCCTTAATGTTTCATTAAGTAATAGCCGCGAAGAGTTCGGGGTTACGAGATTGAATATACTCATTCCCGACTTCTACGATCGATTTGCTAGCACCTTTCTCGCGCATTGCCGTAATTAAAGTCAATATTGTAACCGTACTTACCTGGAATGATGTATACCTCGAAAATCGGGAATATCGGGAAGATTTAAGTAAATAGTATTTTAAGAAATAGTGTGTTGCAGGATGCTCAAGAAATTACATATACTCGCGCATTGCGTGTGTGTATGTATATATGTATATATTTATAATCGCGTTCATCATAAAAGTACAATAATAGCTTTATATCAAATCACGAGGAGAAAGTCAATATTCACATGAGTAGGCGTGGGCGATGGCTTTCGATAATATCGATTCACTGCGGATCGTTGCGTATGGTTTTCTCTCTTCTTCCTTCTTATCCATTCATTTACCTCTTTTTTCTTTTTTTAAACAATGTTTCTCCTCTCATGCGATCCTAACGAAACGGGAAAAGAACGGATATGAGCGAGAACTAAAAAATAGTAAGAACAACGCGGAGAAAGTGGAATATTAAACAAAACATCGATGTAGACAATCAAATAATAACAACAAACAGTTTACAAAACGCAATAGCTGTGTCGACGGCATGTGTTGTGTCAGTTTGAGAGGTACTGGAATGCGACGACTGACGTCACAGACGCGTCGGATAATTAGGCGATCGCAGTAGCAAACGAGAGTAACAGTCTGTTAGTTCCTCCGAGTATGCGAATTGCGTCGATTAGTCGAGACTCAATTTCGAAATGGGATTCGTCGTCTCGCTATCGTTTCTTTCGCCTCCCCCTCCTGATCCTTGTGTGATTACTCCCTTTTGTTCGCTCACTTGTTACTATTATCATTTGTACAAATATATAACAATATCCATTCATAATTCTCACGATTAACGATTACGATTACGTGGTCCGTGGTTCAGCCTAATATACGGAGGCCACTTTTACATCCCTTCACTCCTTAACGGAATGTCGGTAGAGCCTTTCCGAAGAGAGGCGAAAAAAGAGATGTGCCTTCATTCTTTCAATAACTCGACAACGATCGTCGATTGTGCCAAAAATGTCGCGCGAAGAAAAAAAAAACGGCAATAAATATCATTCAAGGTGCTATTGAACAAACTAGATTGCTTTCGACTCTTGTACCGCACAACACTTGTAACTTGTTCGTGTGTTGTTCGTCGTTTGGCTGAAGTTCTATTTGCGGATGCACGCGACGATGATGATCGACGCGATAATCGACGGAAGATTCGGCGTTATTCGTGGACAGAAAGTGTCGGAGGGGGAACGCGAAAGGGTGTGGAATCAAGGGTGTCACTAATCAGGCACTTCATAATGTCCTTCACCCTTTTTCTCCGTGTTCGGAATCACCGTCAGTGTCTTGATGTGTGTGACGATGGCATCGGCGACGCACTCGACAACGATGACGGGCAAAAAGTATATCTCTAGCTAAACACACATTCCTCATACATTCACACGTTCATGCGACCGCATCACGGCTAGATAAACAACAATCACACTTCCTTTCACTCTCTTTATCTTTTTCTCTTCTTTTCTCGCTGTTCATACTCTACGGAGTTCTACTATCACGTTTGCGACAAATCATCCTTTGCTTGCTCCTCCTCCTCCTATTTTTTCTTCCACTTCTTCCTTTCCGTTACGTATTTACCACCGTATTCCCATTTTCCTCATTACACATATGTAGGCTATCTCTGGACCTCGCTGACGTGAAAGCACGTAACTTCTGACTCGCGAACTGATCACAATCGAGACTCGTCAATCTCTCTGCGACTCTTCGATATGAGGTCAATAGCTACGTGGCAGTTAACGTAGTCTAGGTCATCAGCTCTGTTGCGTCGTCGGTGTCCGGATCTTCGGACGGTTCCACTTTCACGGCGAGCTGCGTATATCCCATATTGGCCTCCCTTCTGCCGGACCAGGCCTGCGAATAAAATGTTGACGCACGCACATTTATCTTCCCTCATCATTGAGTTATTTATTTTTCGGAAGCAATATAAAAATCATACTTTGAATCACAAATTTAAATTTATAATACTGACATAAATTGTTGCAATTTGGAAGATATTTCTTAATACAAGCTTGCAACAATTTCAAAATCACTAAAATTTTTTTTAATTTTAATTAGATACATACCTGAAGAGCGACGAATATCATTGCAAACAACGCGATTGATGCTAAACAAATAGCAACTGCCATAGTCGTAGCTGCTGTTACGGCGAGTGATGCCGAGTCGTTGTTACTTGGTTTACTGTCGCTATCAAAATATGTTTCAGAGATAGCAGTGTCGGCTGAGAATTCTGTTCCCGGTACTCTTCTTTTACCAGCCGGCGAACTGTTTCTGCAGCCGCCTACAAATATTAAAAATACACCATTACAATTTTATACGATGATATTTATAACATATAAACTATAATGTAATAACGTCATATATCGATAATAACTAACTAGAATAAAAAGTATAAATTTAGAAAAACTATTATTTCGATAAATGTATTCATGGCGTGTTGCTTATATAAAATCTCTCTATTAACAGCAGATAAATTATTTACGTGCAATATTAAGACATCATCACATAAAAATTACCAGTTTCTGGATCACAGAGACAACACTCCTCAGCTTGAGGCCCTTTTTCGTTGCCCGTACAACAAGGCACGCACTGGTTGTTCAAAAAAAAACGGCAATAGATATCATTCAAAGGTGCTATTGAACAAACTAGATTGCTTTCGACTCTTGTACCGCACAACACTTGTAACTTGTTCGTGTGTTGTTCGTCGTTTGGCTGAAGTTCTATTTGCGGATGCACGCGACGATGATGATCGACGCGATAATCGACGGAAGATTCGGCGTTATTCGTGGACAGAAAGTGTCGGAGGGGGAACGCGAAAGGGTGTGGAATCAAGGGTGTCACTAATCAGGCACTTCATAATGTCCTTCACCCTTTTTCTCCGTGTTCGGAATCACCGTCAGTGTCTTGATGTGTGTGACGATGGCATCGGCGACGCACTCGACAACGATGACGGGCAAAAAGTATATCTCTAGCTAAACACACATTCCTCATACATTCACACGTTCATGCGACCGCATCACGGCTAGATAAACAACAATCACACTTCCTTTCACTCTCTTTATCTTTTTCTCTTCTTTTCTCGCTGTTCATACTCTACGGAGTTCTACTATCACGTTTGCGACAAATCATCCTTTGCTTGCTCCTCCTCCTCCTATTTTTTCTTCCACTTCTTCCTTTCCGTTACGTATTTACCACCGTATTCCCATTTTCCTCATTACACATATGTAGGCTATCTCTGGACCTCGCTGACGTGAAAGCACGTAACTTCTGACTCGCGAACTGATCACAATCGAGACTCGTCAATCTCTCTGCGACTCTTCGATATGAGGTCAATAGCTACGTGGCAGTTAACGTAGTCTAGGTCATCAGCTCTGTTGCGTCGTCGGTGTCCGGATCTTCGGACGGTTCCACTTTCACGGCGAGCTGCGTATATCCCATATTGGCCTCCCTTCTGCCGGACCAGGCCTGCGAATAAAATGTTGACGCACGCACATTTATCTTCCCTCATCATTGAGTTATTTATTTTTCGGAAGCAATATAAAAATCATACTTTGAATCACAAATTTAAATTTATAATACTGACATAAATTGTTGCAATTTGGAAGATATTTCTTAATACAAGCTTGCAACAATTTCAAAATCACTAAAATTTTTTTTAATTTTAATTAGATACATACCTGAAGAGCGACGAATATCATTGCAAACAACGCGATTGATGCTAAACAAATAGCAACTGCCATAGTCGTAGCTGCTGTTACGGCGAGTGATGCCGAGTCGTTGTTACTTGGTTTACTGTCGCTATCAAAATATGTTTCAGAGATAGCAGTGTCGGCTGAGAATTCTGTTCCCGGTACTCTTCTTTTACCAGCCGGCGAACTGTTTCTGCAGCCGCCTACAAATATTAAAAATACACCATTACAATTTTATACGATGATATTTATAACATATAAACTATAATGTAATAACGTCATATATCGATAATAACTAACTAGAATAAAAAGTATAAATTTAGAAAAACTATTATTTCGATAAATGTATTCATGGCGTGTTGCTTATATAAAATCTCTCTATTAACAGCAGATAAATTATTTACGTGCAATATTAAGACATCATCACATAAAAATTACCAGTTTCTGGATCACAGAGACAACACTCCTCAGCTTGAGGCCCTTTTTCGTTGCCCGTACAACAAGGCACGCACTGGTTGTTCAATTTGTCCAAATGCAGTGGCAGCGAGCATGCGGCGCAGCTGAACTTGCCGGGGCCAGTGCATCTTCGGCAGTCGGAATGGCAACTCTTGCAGAGCTGTGTCAAGGAATCATAGTATTGCGCGCCCAGACACTCCATGCACAATCCGCCTTCTAACATCGAATGAGGAGGACAGGAAGTGCATTCTAACGGACCTTCTCCTAAAACAGTTATTTTCCCATTGAGAAGCAATTAGATTTAATTTATCAAATTGTAATTTACTTACCTTTACATGTACGGCAATAATGATGACACTTTTGACAACCAAAATTGGATTTAAAGAAACCTTCTGGGCATTCGGGATGGCATTCGCCGGCTGCCAGTTGCCAGCCTCTCGGACAGGTGACGCACTGATCCCTCCTGGGTCCCAAGCATGTTTTACACGATAAGTAACACTTGGCGCATTGACCTCTATCGCTATAATAACTGAAATCAAGAAGGAAAAGAAAGCGTAATATATCAATGCTATTCTACCATTGATCTATTCAATATCGTAACAATAAATTCTTTCGTCTTACCCCGGCGCGCAGGACGATCTGCATTCTCCGCTTTGCAGTTGTAGCCCATCTTGACATGCCGTGCAGTTCAAACGGGAGACGCAACTCTTGCAAGTATGCAGACAAGGGACGCAAATCGGTCGCGAAGGTTGTACCACGGAGTAATACGCGTCGTCGCACTGGGACACGCAGCGCTTGCCTTGAAGCAGTAACGGATTCGGACAGGATATGCAGTGATCTTCTGTGGGGCCGGCACAAGTTTCGCAAGACGAGTGACAGACCTTGCATTGGCTGTTCTCATAATACTGGCCCGAGTTGCAGTTGCTGCGACTCTCGGGCGCGCATAGCCCTTTTTTGTTCAAGCTCCAGCCCTCAATGCAACTAGTGCAACTCACCGTGGCGCAAGTCGCACAACCGGGTGGACATGCGACGCATTCGCGCCGTTTCTTGTCGGCGCTGTAACCCGCCGGGCACGAGGCGCGACATGTACCTGCAATATTCGAATCAGAAATCGCATATGATATAGAATATCGCGGCTATTCTCACATTTAATAATTATATATTTGATGTGATCCAATTTTTTAAATTAAAATTTCTTTCGGTATGTTTTATTTATTGGCGTAAACGACGCTCACCGTTCAAAGCGAACAGCCCGGATCGGCAGGTAATGCATTGGTTCTCTGCCGTACCGTTGCAGGTCTCGCAAGTAGCATGGCACGGGGCGCAGCTATAGTCTTGCGTCTCGTACGTATATGGGGGACACGCGGCGTAACACTTGTTCTCGTGCATCACCAAGTGATGCTCGCAGCTGGTGCACTTGTCCGGTCTGTCCTGACAGCTGGCGCAGTTGGCCTCGCACGGCACACACGTGCTGTTCTCGGTGTCTGCGTGATGAAATGCAAAAAAAATCGCACGTTACTTCGATTTCATGAGACAGAAATCATTATAATTGATGACTATAAAATGATTTTTTGTCGACATACTTTCGTAGTAGCCTTCCGGACATTGTTGGAGGCAGACTGCCAGATCGGTGACTCGAAGATGAGCGGGCGCGCAGGAGAGACAGGAGTCCTGACCAGCGCCCGCGCAAATTTCACAGGATTCGTGGCACGGCCAGCAGACACCGCCTTGGTTAGGGAAGCTCCTTGGCGGACAGCGACTGACACATGTGCTGGAAGAAAGAAAAGACACCCCTCGCGTTGTTTCTCAAACGATTTTACGTTGAGGAGGGTCAAACGAAGAGAAAAGATATAGAATGAGAATTGGCGGGATCCATTGGGAACTCTTATTGTGAGTAAGAAATAAATTATAGTGTGGTTAAAAAAAGATTAGTTTCACTATTATAGTGTGTTATATAAAATGTATGAATCAATATGATAGTATTACCATTTGCCTTTTTAATAGCAAATAGTTTTATACTCTATATGCCTACCGTTGTAATCCATAGTTTCGTAGCATTCTATAAAATTGTTTTATGTTTTATTAGTTTCATGAAGACACCACAATTAATGCATGAATTTTTATAATAGTACAACTATATTTAAAATTTTATATTTATTATAATATATTTATTTTAATTTTATATGACACTTTATATTTAAATATATTTATATTTAAATATAAAATGTCATATAGATCCTTAGGAGAATAAAATATTATTTAGATTACCCATACAATATTACTTTGGTTTTATTTTTAAGAATCTCAGCGGGTACGCTAAAAAATTCTAATTTTATAGACTGGATCTTTTCATCGAGACAAAAAAAGGTAATTATCTTATGCAAGAGTTTTAAGCGTTCATTTACTCACTTGTCGAGACGATAATTCTTACAGGCGACGCACTGAGTCGGACCTTTGCCATAACAGCCCTGCGCGTCGCACTGCGGATCACAGTCATGCAGTATCCTTCTGGTAGTATCGAGAGATACTACCGAGAGATCCGCTTGCGCGGATGACGCTGCCGAGGGTGAGTCGAAGGCGGATGCAGAGGAGACGTCGCCGGGCAAGTGGTTCGTCAGGAGCGGCGCCGACGAGCCGTCCAAGGTGGCCACCGATGCCTGTAGATTCGATGCTGCGCCGGAGTACGGGCCCTGGTAACTCTGAAAGGTAGACGAAGAAAAGAAGTCGCTATTGCCCGGATAGCCGGACAGTTGTAGCGGATCATCGTCTACCCTGAACGGATAATGAACGGAATGGGAGGGAAGGTATGAGGAATGTACCGGATTAAACTGCCGCGTGCGTATCCGGATCGGGTTCGTTGACGTGCCGTAGAAGATCAGCTGCCACTTTTTCAGTATGCCTGCAACAAGATCGACGAGACGGTCAAGTTATAGCGGGAACGACGGGGCACGTTGAGAAAAACATAAAGATCGAGTTAACCGTAATTAATTTGATTATTAAAAATGATGCAATATCATCTTTATTTTAAAGAAGACAAGGGAGTGGATTATTTTGGTAAAAACTATTATACTACTAAAGTCTATTTCTGGAATTTAAGATTTTAAGAATAATAAATATTAAATAGTTTCGTTAAATATTAATACCGAGACAATCTCAAAAATATTTTCAGAACGAGAATTATTATATATAAAATATCATAAAAATTTTTATTTTACTTTGCAAATAAAAACTTATTTTTTATTTTTTTCTGGGCGCATAGTTTATAGATATCGCTCGTGTATAAAAATGAGAAATTAAATTAAGCTTGCCTGGTGAATTGACGTGTCGGTTCCCAGCATTAATGATCTGCAGGGTCCATCGGCCGTCTGCTTTCTCGCCCCAAAAGTGCACGCTGAGGAAGGGCCAATCGTCGAAGTTGGAACTGAGAACGTCGCGCGGTCGTTCAAACAATAGGGTCGAGGTTGTGCCCATCGGGGAGGTCAGTAAAAGCCTCAAGTTTCCTCGAGGGAAGAATCTCAGAGAAACCTGATTTACGAAGAACAATTCAAATTTTATTCAAATTTTATTTATTACAATTCATATTTTAATCAAATTCTAACTTGATGCATCAAATAGCAAATATTAATTTTAATATACAGAACGCGAGTTTATAGTAGATTATTCTTAGAGAATCGATAAGATATTTTTATCTTAAAAAGAGAAGGCAATTTTTCCCGCATACAATCTTACCTTGCACTGCACATGCTCCAAGAACCGTACTTCGTTCAAGGACCCAGCGCATCCGGTGACGTCCATGTATACGCTCAAGGTATAGCCGTACGTGGGATCAATCGGTCTTTCCTCATTGATCTCGTCGGACTTGCAAATGTGCTGCGGCGGCACATTGGTCCACTGTTCAGCCAGGCTGACCATGGCGCCCGCGTCCATCAAACCGTAGCCGAACTTGTGAGACACCTTTCTCTTCACGCCGTTCAGTATCCAGCCTGGTTCGTTGCTCAACGGTTCGGACCGCGAGGTGAGTACCACCAGGTACTGCATGTCCCGCCACGTTAGGGTCGGGTTCGCCTCAAGGGCGAGGGCGGCGATGCCGGCGGCTAACGGCGCCGAGGCGGATGTTCCGGTGTGTTCCACCGTGCAGATGTGATCGGGACGCAGCTTGGCGTCCATGTCCACGGTGGCGACGCTCT